AGGCCTCTGGGGATTCTACTAACCTCAATATATTTTTGTAATAGTAAATATCCCACCATTGTATCATTTCCTTTTCTAATCCATGTTTCAACTTATAAAACAGTGACACCATTGAATCTTCCCTTTTGTGAATATCCGGGGTATTGTCCGCACTAGACTCTTGGGTGTTACATCCATTGGGTTGTTGTTCAAATGAATCGACACTGCATGTAAAGCCCTTAGCTAAAGAACTTCTTCTCACTTCTCTTTGTTCAATAGATAATACCATAATGCTAAAGCAGTCACAATAGACACAAATAGGCTGTACAGAAAAGTGCAAGGGCTCATTGAAGGCATAATTGTATTGTCAAAATACCTTTCCAATGAAATCATAGAGGTGTAATGTGCAAAGTCCCAGAAGCTGGAACCCCAAAAAGAACGAACAATTGACACACATCCACCACCTGCTGCACTCAGGGGCTTAGATCAGAGGTAGGTTAATCCAATAAAATAGTAATGTTCATCCAATACTGATCAAAGGTTGTGCAGCTCTAACACGAAGCTGGGGAAGCTTGATATAGACTGTAGTAGAGAACAAAAGAAAAGAGCGCACCAACCTTGCGCATTACCTTAGTAAACAGTTCATACATTTATTGATAAATTATACTCATAAGAATAGCAGTAAAAAGGGCATATAACATCCATAACCAACACAGGGTTAAAAGACACGTGCGAGTTCCATCCGGAAGGGAGATAAACTCTTGGTCAAACTGATGCGTTTCGAAGGGGGGCCCCTTCTTCCTCAGAGCTAGTGACAAAGAGATATGCCACCCCTCAGTCTAATGTAGCTCTATCACAGGGCCTACCCTCGTAAATGAGACATCCTCAATTTGGGGGAGGGTTTTTTTTTTTGGCTTAAATATGTCACAACAGATAGTATTATTAATCATAAATAATATCATAATTAGCATACATAAAAAACCTAATATGTTCACAATGGAAAAGGATAAAGTAGAAAGATGATGCTCATATTAACATAAAATGACATTATAATTATATTAAAAATAAAATAAAGATGAGGACGTCATTAATTAAAAGTCCTGGAGAGCTGAAAGGCAACTAACTCGCTGTGTGTTTAGTGGCTGACAAGCAGTAGGCTTAGTCAGTCTGGTAGGTAGGACCTGCATTACTGTGTAGTGAGAGCTAGGATACAGCTAAGTTTTTTTTTGTTTGATATTTTTCTGTCCTGTTTATTTTGGTTAAACACTGTACAGCACATTGTATATAGTCCTTTGTAAATAGCACTTATAAACACATTCACTGTTTGCCACTAATCTCACTGGATTTGGTATTTGTGCCTGAAAGACTGCTTACCCCAGGAGGCATATATCCTGGCTGCCTATCCCCAGCTCCCAATATATATATATATATATATATACTGTATATTCACCACAGTCATAACAATGCCTTTAATCTTCAACACCAAAATAACAAATGCACCCATAGGGCCAGTTTTGATTGGTCATGTGCATTTAAGGATTTGGTAAGTAGAGTAGATTTACCCCTCTGCTTCTGAGCATCCCTGCAGGCCTCTGGGCATGTAGTTGTGAGGGAAGGCTCAATAAATGTCCCAGCTGCTTTCTTCTTCTCCCTCTGTGCCTCATGGCTCCACCATCATCTTGTGCAGGATCCCAGGCATATTTGTCAAGGCAATCTCCCAAGGCTTTGCCCACTCCCTGGATGATCTTCACCATGTTGGCAGCTGCCTAGGGTGTACCTCATTGCAGGATTTCTGGTGGGGTGACAGAACTACTTCAGGATCTGTTGAATGCATCGAAGTTCCAATCCTGAGCTTCTCACATGTCGATTGTCGGCCCTGAGCTTTACTCACTACTACTCCTGTTATTACTCCTACTACTCATGTTATTCCTGACTTCTGCGCTCTCTGCCTTACTTACTCCCAAACCCTGATCTCTGTGTGTTATTTAATCCTGACTTCTGAACTTAGTGTTCAGAAGAGATAGGAATAGGAAATGCACAGTGTGCTACCTACTTAATATATATAAAACTCAGTGAGCGCTTAGTAAAAAAGCAGCTGTGCACTGAAAAAGGAACCATAAGCCTTCTAAAAGATATGTAAAACGTGCAGCGATAAAAAATATCAAAGGTTTATGCAATTAAATATTATAATGTCCTGATAAGAATAACAAGGGAAGGGGGGTTAAAAGTTCAAATGAATATAATCCAGATATAAATGGAAATGGTCAAAGCCCAAGTGACTTAATTAATCCCAGCTGTGCATAATTCAGAAGTCCGGTGAGGTATAGGATAAAGATAAAATACGCACTCACCAGATGCGCATTAGTAATGTGCAGTGTAATATATTAAATGGTGATCTGCCAGGAATCCCTCTCTGGTTGGTACCGGATGCAGCCCAAGTTAGGTGGCCCTCATCTGGGTTAGAGGATGGTGGTAAACCGGAGGTCCCCTTTAAGGATGTAGTAAAATGGATACATCCTCTTACAGGCACTGGGATGGTCACCAAGGGAGCTCTGGGGGATTAAACCCTCAGTGCAGATAAAAAAGGGGATATTCCCATAGTGTAGTAATTTGATGCGTTTATTATTGGAGTAATTCAAAGTTTAAAAGCAAGCCAAATTTTCACATACATCGGCATAAGATAAATATGTCATATGATAGTTGAAAATACAAGCAGCATAAAGCTGCTGAAAGCACTAACCAGCTGGACAGATAAAATGGCCGCTGGACCTCCGGGATCCGGTGGCATGACGCGCCACCGGATCCCGGGCGATAGTACGTTCTCAAAAGGGGTGTGCCATTGCAGCTTGATGTCCTGTGTGTTCCTTAAATAGCCCTAAAATGGCATGTGCAATCAGCGGGCGCCATCTTGCCGGAGACCAACGTGAAGTTTGCATGCGCGAAGTAGCGGGCGCCATTTTTCGTTGGTCTGGATTGCAGTCTGAAGAATAACCGAGTAAAGCTGGTGAATGCACATGTGCAGCACCATTTTCCATTGGTTTAATGAGGACAATGCAGGTAGCTCATTCGTAAGGTTACAAAACCTTCAAATAACTATGTGCTACCTACTACTGACCTCTGAACTATGTGCATTACTTAAACTTGTCTCCTGAACTCTGTGGGTTACTTGCCACTGAGCCCTGAACTCTATGCATTACTTAATCATGATACTGCAGGCTTTAATCAACTATGCCTTACTTAGTTCAAGTCATTAACAAAGTCCCTTGTTGAAGGGAATGTACCCCTCTGGGAACAGCAGTGGTCCATTAATCAGACTCTTCTCACACTGGTAGACAGGCAGCAGCCTCCCCTTACAGCTCGATCCATTTGAACTCATCAATGAACCTTTCAAGGCAAACCAAACTTTGGTCTATGTGATTGAGAATCCATCGTACCCAAATCTTGTAAAGAAATCCTATTTCTTTTTTCATTACAGTATTCTTTCACCTAAGGAGATAAAATACACATAGCATTTTGTTCCATCTTTCTATGTACTGTGAAATGCTAGCTATGTGGCCCTTTTGAATGTAGCGCTACCCTCTTTAGGGCCGCTGTGTAGTTGGTATCCCTAAGCTTCCCTCTGCACAGCCAGGGAACAGGTATTTCTCACACAGACTTGCATCCAGGCAATGACCAGTCCATGGGTTTGGTTTTGTTGTTTTATCAGGGGAAATAAACTTGGATAGGAAATAGAGATTATGGGATGCCCAGTGTGGCCTAAATCAATGGAAGGGGGACACTTCCTATGTACAAATGCAGATCCTGGACTGTTCTTTTCTTGAAAGCCTTCAGTCCTTGCGGATTTGCAGCAGCTCCCATTATGGGCAGGGAACTAGCATCCCCTCAGAAATCAGCCTTACCTCTTGTAGCTACATGCAGAGATGTCTTCTCTCCCCCTTTAGAGCTGCTCCCAGCTTCACAGTCTGCAAACACTACCAGCCCTACTGGTTTCCCGGAAGATCTCCAGGTAGAAGGATAAAGGACTGAGGCCAGCGCTGTCCATTGAAAACTTGCTACTTGTGGCAGTCTTTCCCCTTGTAGACCCCAGAGTGTGCTGCTGTACTCACACTGTCCATTTTGCTCCCTGCTGCTCCATGTCTTGATCCCATTCATCACCACTGAAGGTATCCTCCCAAGCCTGAGCCCAGCCTGGAGGCCACCCCCCAAGACCTAGGGGATCCCTGCAAGGCACCGATAGTCTCCTCAGCACTCCCATCTTCCACCCAAACCCCTGTCAGCCTGACTCTCCCATAATTATTGGCCAGTACACCATTCCACTAGGGCTTCCAAACCGGACTCTCATGAACATGCAGATCAGGTCTTCACCCCATCCTGCTTACCAACTTCTGGAAGATTCTATAGTCCTCCAGAGTCAGGAGGAGGCAATAGAGCCACAACCTGTTGAGTCATTCAGCTGACCTGCAATAACCCAACCTCAATCACATGACTCACACAACTACCATGAGTCATACACAGTGATTTTACCAATAGTATACTACACTATTCTAGTAACATACTAGGGGGTGCTACATGAAGAAGGGTTGCCGCTCGAAATGTCTAAACCATAATACACTATAGAAGGGGGCTCCCTGCATCATAGGCCATGTGTTGCTAATCTGGAGACAGTCGTGTTTGGTTCTTTGATATGTCTGTTGACCCAATTGGTTTTTGAGTATACCAATTTCTTTTATTATCAATAAATGATGTATTATGTAATGTGCTAGGCCAGGGCTTAAAATTTCAAGTCCTGAGCTACTAGCCAGGCCTTAGAGTTACTCGCCACCAACAAACACACACAGAGACACCTGTAACACACACAGACATGTACATACACACACAGAAACATGTACACACACGCACAGAGACACATGTACACACAGACACATCTATACACACAGGCACGTACAGACACGCATACACACAGATACATGTACATACACAGAGATACACACGCACAGACACATGTACATACAAACAGACACATGTACACACAGACACATGTACTTACATACACAAACACACACATGTACATGCACACAGACACATGTACACACACAAGTACATACACATAGACACATGTACAGATACACACATGTACATACACACAGACACATGTACAATTGTACATGCATACACAGACACACACAAAAACACACACATACACATGTACACGTACACACACCCCATGATCACCCCATAAAATGTTGCAGTACTTCGTTGTTCACTCACAGATCCGGGTACTGCACTCTAGGGGGAGGCAGAAAGCACAGCACACACTCCTTGCTTTGCTTTCACTGCCCTCAGGTATTGAGCAGTCTGACGGCTCCCAGTGCCAATGACAGATCTGGCCTGAGCTCCGAGCCTACTCAGCAAGACGGCCCTGGGGGACACACTCGCCCCCACCACAACTTCCACTCACCATTGGCGAACAGGCGAGTGGAAATTTCAAGCCCTGTGCTAGGCTAGTACACCCTCTTTCTACTTGTTTTGTGTGTCTGCATTACTCAGGAAACTGTCTGTGATTTGAATTGTATTTGAACTTTTTTTTGTTTTTTTTCTGCTGTGACCACCTTACATGACTGCTTTTTTTCTGCAGTCTTCTCAGATCACCTGCCTATGAACTTTGCTCTTGCTTATTGCATTGTTGAGTGCCTGTGAGAGCTGTTAGTCACCTGCTCTGTGACATCTGCACTTAGTCTCTGAGATTAAAGTCACTGATCCTAGGCTGAGAATAAATCACTTATATTTGAATCTTTACACATTGTTTACATATGATTTTTCTGTGATTAATCTTTTATAAGATTAATCTCCAGTGATTTTCCTAATTTTTCTGAATTGTGAAAATACCCTGAAAAGTTATTATTATTTTATTATTGTTAATTTGTCGGTGCCTCATATTTTTAAAATTGTGGATATGCTTATGTCAATTTCTCCGCATGAATGTTTGATATATTATATGTAATATTTTACAAACATGTTACATTCTATATTTATTGGAGCTGCTATTTTTGCCCTGCCCATTATAGCTATTACAAACCTTAGTGTTAACATTTCATAACTAATGCCACTTGTAAGTCTGTATTATTACAAATCTTTTAACGGGCAAGCAGGTGACATGCTCTTTATATTTATTTCTCAGAAAGATTTTGTTCCTACTTCTTTGTCAGATCCGCCATCATAGTTATTGTGCGACAAACCTTCATAACTTTGGAATGTCCTTCGTCTCATTGTGCTGCCTCAACTTTCAATTCTAACTTCTTAAACTATGTGGATGTTTTAGATGGTGAACAATTTTAAAATCTAAAGCTACAGAGAAGTGGTATATTTACTTTGATTCCCCTGGATATCTCTGATTGCAACAACAGATTTGTCTGTATAGATGTCTTTAGGTATGGCACTAATGCTGTATCTTAAAAGTTCAAAAATTCTCCAGTAAGCCAGCTGTTAACACTTTGAATCCTGGATCTACCTGTGTATGTGCAACATCCTGGTTTAACACATCCACCTGGATCATATGCCTTTTTGTATCCTTCTCCATTTGAATGATCAAGTGATATCCAGCCATAGTACTGAACTGACTCAATCAAGCCTTTCATTACTTCCTTTGTTGGGCAGTGTGGATTGTTGAATGCTCCTTTGGAATCGTTACCAATACATGGTGGGGTAGATTTACTAAAGCTGATTCACACCAAATCTTGTTCATCTGTGCATGGTAGCCAGTCAGCTTCTAACCTCAACTTGTTCAATTAAGCTTTAACAATAAAACCTGTTAGTTGATTGGTTTCCATGCAGAAGTGCATGAGATTCTGAGTGAACCAGCTTTAGTAAATAAACCCCGGTGTCGCTTTCATAGTTTCATAAACATATACTGTGATTTTGTTATTGATGTTACAAAAGCATGCTGCATTCTGTACTATTATTTCACAAATCCTAATGGTATGGTGTTTAAATTTTACTTACCAAACCCCCTAGCAAGTATGGCCAGTCCTTCCATATATTCATGGCTAAATGTGTTATTTATTGCTGGAGTCATCATATAACTAACCTCACAAAATAGATAATACATACAAATGACTTACTTGTTAGCCTGTTACTCCCCCCCCCCCCCCAAAAAAAAATATACAACGATTTTGATGTTGCATTTTTTATGGAAACCCATATGTATATACCATACATATAGTGCATGTTCATTTTGATCACAAATATAAATTGCCTTTGTTATGCATACAAGAGGTTATGGGATATAAATTAAAGTAAATATAAACTGTTACAATTAATTTCTCTTATTTGTTTTTTTGCGGGGATCTGTCAAATATTCCTATAAACAAATGTTGTTATATCTGTTTGATAAGAGTAAAAAATATCTGGTGATCTTGCCTGATAACTTCCTGTGCTCTCTGCTGTTATAAGATATGTGGGCAGCACAGTGGCTAAATGGTTAGCATTTCCGCCTGGAAGTACTAGGGTTGTTGGTTCAAATCCCAACCATGGCACCACCTCCCTGGAGTTTGCATGTTCTTCCTGTGTGGGTTTCCTCCAGGTACTCCGGTTTCCTCCCACACTCCAAAAGACATGCTGGTAGATGAATTGGCTCCTGTCTAAATTGGCCCTAGTATGTATATGTATGAATGTGAGTTAGGGACCTTAGATTGTATGCCCCTTGAGGGTTAGGGACTGATGTGAATGTAAAATATATATGTAAAGTGCTGCGTAAATTGACGGCACTATATAAGTACCTGAAATAAATAAAATATTGTTCTAAATACTACATGACCCCACCAATCTATGGTTTGAACAAAAGACAGGAGAGTTCCCAGTAGTCCTGTCCTGTTTCTGTTGCCCTGATACAGTAGAGTGAATGATCATTACCCTTTTAGGACTGGAAATGTGTTAATGGCAGAATCACCAGGTGAGAATAAACTGAAAAAAAGAATACTAAAGCAACCACTACATATAGTACTTGAAAGTCTTATTTTAATGTTTACATATGTTTAAAGTATAAGAAAAATGGATTGAAAGGAACAATGGGAGTCAAATGGACCAGATTCAACTAAGTGGGACTGATTAATGTAAATGCTGCCAGTGTACAGAGAAATTTCATGAATTTGGCAACAGGAAATATACTGTAATAAATAACACTGAAACTGAACAGGCACAATATGGCACTGCAGACCAGTATATATTGGAGCCCATAGTCAGCTACTTTGCTTCGCTGACATTGCATTTGCACTGTTCAACTTGGGTGATGTAAGATAGCCAATCTGGTACTTCAGACAGAACACTTTTCCATCTATCACTTCCTCTGAAGTTAAACTTTAAAGTTGTAAAAAAAATGATAGCTAGTCCCTTCAGTATGTGTGTGTTTGCTATTAATCACACAGTCTTATTCTAAAAGAGCCATCCATTGTACAACTAAGTGTGACACAATTAAATTGAGGCATTGCACAATCTTGATTGCTTGTCTGGAACCTACTATTATTTTCAATGCATTCAAGCAAAGAGATCAGTCTTAGGATATATTATTCATGTGATTAAGTGACTCACATAATGTAGCCTCAAGCTTAGACTGGACTTTAACAAGTTTAATCTGGCTGAAAGGTTCACCCTAACTCATTTGTTGTGTAGGAAAGTATTGCATCAGTCTCGTCATATACAATTTTGTCAGTAAATTGCCATGGAGAAAAAACTGAAATATCTAGTCTTGGAACAAGCAAGAAGCCGCATTAAAAATAGAAATAAAAATAGTAGTGATAGTGTCAATATCTTTCTCTAATAGCTTGCTAAGACGTCTCTAATTAAAAATGAAAAAAAATCTAATTTCAAGTGAGTTAATGGGCTGGGTTCTGGTAGAAAGCCATTAAACACCAAACATCTATCTGATGTTTGTGAGCTGAAGCTGATTAAAGCTCAATTACTTAAGTTATAATTTAGCAACAGAAAAATTTTCAAATTTTAAAATATTCAGCACTCAACTTATATGGTATTAATATTTAAAGGATATAAATACAGTATGTTGGACATCGCATTTAAAATGTAAACCATAGATAGATAGATTGTAATTTACCTTTGCATTTAATTTGTGCACAGTGGATTCACAACATTATTAGTATGCAGCTTGTTAATATGGGTTGATTTGTGCTGATTAGAAATTATTTAAAAAGAACTTACATTTTAATTTAGAATGTTAACTTGTTATTGCTTCTAAAACTCAAGCTGGCCATGAACAGTAAGCTAGGAATGATGGGTATAGTCTGTAATCACACATAGGCCAATAATTCATTAAGCCTACGTGTTTTTAACCCTGTGAATATACAGTGCCTAAAATAAAAATGATAGCACCAAATTAATGTCCATCATGTATGATCAAGTTATGACCAGGCTCTCTAAAAATGTAAGGAAAGAAAAATTGCCAGGACCTGGTTAACCTGCTGGTGACACTGTTGTCCCCTGGGCAGAAGGTTGTAGTTCTAGTGCCCACCAGTGGGTGTCTCCCAGCAGCCAAAAGATTCTAGTAATCAGTCTCCATCTGATGCTGGCTGCTGGGAGGGTACTTAGGTCCTTTTTCTGCTGATACACCTTGCACCAGTGTTTTCTTTGCTGTGCTAAGTCAGATGCTGCTGCCATTTCTCCTGCTCCTGATTGTGCTCTGCATCCTGTACCCTAAACACTGCTGTCATATATCTGCTCCCCTTATTCCTGATTAGAGTTCTGGTTCCCTCCTTTCTAGTAATTCTGGTATTCCTTGTCACCTGTGTGTCTCATCTTGTATGTATTATATTACAGTTAGGCTTCCTGTTACTTAGCTAGGCGTTTTGGTCATATGGTTGTAGTTCACTTGTATCTTTACATTTGCTTGTTTCCTAGTTGCGTGCATGTGGATGTTTTCTGTTTTACTATTAATAAATTTAATTTACTATATATAGTCTGGTCTCAGTTTCTAAGTGTAGCCATGCATATCTGGTCATCTCTGCTGATGATTCCTGACACAAATTGTGCATGATACAGATGGTAGAAAGCAGGAGTTAGCGAGGGATTTAGTTGATAAAAATTGTGGGATAAGTAAAATCAGAAGGGAGGTGATTAAAATCACATGTGCTTCATAAAGAAATAGAATGTTAAAATGATTAAAAATATCACACCAACATTCGAAAAGTCAAGAAGTCCTATATATAGGACAAAGTTTTGTTTGCTTGGTTGCACAAACCCAGGAAAAAATCTGTTAAACCCAAACATAGTATCAAACCCCAATGAAGTCTAAGGGAGATTTTGTTTTCTTTTTCTGCCTTTTTATCAAGGCCAGTTTGCAGTCATTTGTTAAAATAGGCAAACCCAATAAATAACATTCTTTGGGTATGCCTTAAGTGAATTGCAAACAATGAATACCTTTTTTCAATGTATTTTCTGTATATTGCAAATCAGAATGTTACCCTTTCTATTGTCACCTGTATACAAACAGACAGACA